GTGTGTGTGTGTGTGTGTGTGTGTGTGTATATATTTATATGTCTCGCCTTCTGGTTGAAAATAATGTAAGCACTGACCAAAAAATAACAAGGACTAAATTGACACATTTTTATTCTATTTAGGTCATTCCGGATGTGCTCGACAGCGACATCTCTCTCGGCAATCCCACCTACAGTGGTGGAGGGAAGAAACGTCTTCGCCCTGCCCTCCAAAAAAAAGGACCGGGAATGTCCTTGAATTCTTCGTCGTCGCGTCTCAACTCTTCACTGTCGCAGCTTAACTCGTCTTCAAGCAAGTTAAACTCATCATCATCGCAGGTAGGTGAGATAGAACAGTTGTGCGCCTCCGATATACCTACTGCAAAACCTTGGCATCCGGGGTTCCGAACTTCTTTGATTATGGTAGATACTGTTGCGGAGTGGGTTGAGACTCACTTATATATGTGTATTGACTCGCATGATATTGGCCATTGCTTGTGTGCAGTGTACAGCATCGCTACAAGAAACCTGACCCATATCTAAGTATTCATACATTTCTATCAAGTCATACATATATATATATATATATAAATATATATATATATCTCTCTCTCTGTATCTGTCTCTGTCTCTGTCTCTGTCTCTGTCTCTGTCTCTGTCTCTGTCTCTGTCTCTGTCTCTGTGTCTGTATCTATATCTGTATCTGTATCTGTATCTGTGTCTGTATTTATATAAATGAAATGTAACAACTGCTTATTCCCTATAATTTAGCACATTACATTTGTCTTTTCGAAATATCCTAATTCGCTAAAACAAACTGTGTGCTGTTTCCAACAGATTCTCTCACAGGAAAATGACTTCCGTGCCAATCTGAAAGAGAATGTCTGCCCTTCCAAAATCAAAATTGGATCACAAGACGGATTAGGTTCCTCCAGTCAGAAAGAGGGTGTAGCATCACAATCCAGCGGTGCAAGTTCTCTGGCAGCCAACCAAAAGGCTTCAATTGTTGACTTGTCCAATCAGAAATCGTCCAGAAGCCAGTCCACCAAAGAGAAGGCGGTAAATCCAGAGGTCTCGCCCAATCATGCAGCACTGTACATCGATGTTTCCTCGCAACTCAAGGCACCCTACTCTCAAGAATCATTCGCAGCAAGTCATCTCTCGCAACCCAAAGCATTGTCTTCCCACACACATGGGGCAGAGAAACTGTCTCAAGCACACTACTCTCACGAGTCTGGGGTATCGGACCAAGTGTTTCAATGTAAAGCCACTTTCTCACCAGAGATATGTGGCTCAAGCCAGACATCACAGACGGACCTGATAGCCGCCGCAGTCACGGCAGTGCATGTTATAGGCAAGCCCACAGCTCTGCACCCGGTGCAAAAGAAAACGGAATATGAGACGACACACTATACCGACGAGACAGACAGACATACAGGCGGCTTTAATGGAAGCAATCAGGGCATACAAAGTAACGCTCACGAACAACAACACATAGACAACTACAACAACAACACTGACAGTATTCAGGGTGAACACAGTAACGTTCACGAACAACATCACACAGACGACAACAACAACAACACTAGCAGCAACCAGGGTGTGCAAAGTATCGTTTACGAACAACATCACACAGACAACAACAACACCACTAGACAGCAAAC